ATAAAACTGGAAAAAATAAAAACAACCCTTCATCATAAAGGCCTATTTCCTTATTATCTACAATACTTAAGTTATTTGAATGAATGATAAAACACTTCCAGCTAATCAGTATGGTTTTAGAAGGGGTAAAGGGACTTTAGAAGCCACAACACATCTTGTCTCTGAAATTCATAAGTCATTTTTAATAAATAAATTTTGTGCATGTCTATTTGTAGACATAAAGCATATGATAATGTAGATTTAAATATACTCCAAAATATTCTAAACGAAAATATTTCGGCTAAATCCTCTATTAACATATCAGAGTTGTATGCCAATCAAAAAATTTATATAAGAGATAGTTCTAATAGACTTTATGGCCCCAGAATAATAAATTAAGGTCTTGCTCAGGGTTCTGTCTTGATTCCTCTTTTATTTAATACCTCTTTAGTGCACTACTTATTTGATTCGACCATCAAAGTCATACAATACGCGGATGACATCGTTTTATTTACCCAGGATCAAGACCCTAACAAGTGTGTAACAAATTTGAGATATGCCATTTGGTATTTACAACATTCCAATTTATAATGAGTATAAATGTTGGAATTATACTTGACAAAAAATTATTATGGGCCAAGCAAATTAATAATATAAAACAAAATGCGAAAAAGGTATAAACATTTTAAGAATGGTCTCCAGAGTTAAATGGGGAGCAGATTCATTTACTTAATGTTTTATAAGGCCTATATTTTATATATTCTGAACTACGAGAGTATTCTCTATGAAGGTCACACCTCAGTAAAATAGATAGGATCCAATATAAGGCTCTAAGAATCTGTCTTGGAGTCCCACAGTCGTCACCTACTAATATCCTACTTGCAGAATCATTACAACCTCCATTGAATCTTCGGAGAAAATCCCAGGCTTATAAGTTTTTTCTCAAAATTGTGGTTTACAATCCCATACTTCATACTACTATTACTAATCTGTCATCATCGGTTCTAACCGATAACTATTGGAAAAAAAGTTATCCTCCACTGACTGATTATACAAAACATAAATACTTTGAGATGGTCAAAACTCAAGATAAACTTCCATTTTTTAATCTTAATTTTAAAGATACTTAAAAAGTATAAAGTATTAATTCCTGATTACACAAATGCAATAAATGCAAATTAAAATCGCACTTAAATGAATTTCTACCAGCACTAGAAATCTTTACTGAAGGGTCCAAAAATAATAATGACACAGGGTCTGCATATTATGTTAAATTTAATCAAACGTATGCTACATTTAAACTTCATGAAAACTGTTCTTTATATACAGCGGAAGCATTCTGCCATTCTGCAAGCATTAAAATATGTTTTAGATCAAACAAATAAACACCAATTAAATAACATCATCATTTTATCTGACTCACAAGCTGTACTTCTCTGAAATACTTTTCAGCAAAAAATGCCTAGTATCTAATCTGTGAAATCGCAAAAATACAATCGATTATTGAACAAAAAGGTATAGGCATTATTTATATTTGTGTTAAAGGCCATGAAAATATCGATGGTAATGAAATAGCAGATAAATTTGCTAAGCAAGCTATAGCAGAATCCTGCACAATACCCCAATTTCTTCCTTATCAAGACTTAATAGCACAATATAAAAATATAATAAGATTAGAATGGAAAATAATTTGGGAGAGATACGTTAATTCCTACAAAAACCACTATACACTTATTCATCCAACAATACCTACAAAAATTTCTTACATAAATGTAAATTGTCTCGACAGGTACGTAACTTCAATTATATCTCGCCTAAAAATTAATCATGGGTGTTTTCCCTCTCACTTATATCGCATAGGAGTATTGGAAACTCCGGTTTGCTCATGTGATAATAACTCTATAGCAGATCTAAATCATTTATTTTTTAACTGCCAAAATAATTGTAATGCAATCAATAAATTAACAAATAAATTAATTAAACTTAATATATTCCCACCTTATAATCTAACGTATCTACTATCATTTGATAATGTAAATATTAACAAAGCCCTCGTCGAATATACCAGAGAAACCAAACTATAAATCTAATATGATTTCATTCCTTTCTTCCTCAAACTCCGCTGCCCTCCAGTTTGTCAAAATAAAGTCGCTATGACAGGCACCATAGCGTGAACAGTGTGTCCCAGTAATCCTTTTTAATGTTTGTCACGTCATACACTATTTTTTGTCTCCCTGTATAACTTTCTTAATAATCATAACTCCTTATTAATATGAATGAACTATTATACACTTAAATATTCACTTACATTTAACTATTAATTACAATTTTTGTACTATCGAAATGTTATATATATATCCAATTTTTACATAATATGTTAATAATTATTATCAGCTAAATAAATTTTATTTCTGAGTCAAAGGAGCTAAGCTCAGCCAAAAATATACCATGATCCCATTATGGCTTCAAGGAGGTTTTATAAAATAAATGTACTCTACAAAAATAATGGGTATTGCAGTACGATATATCGTTCATTAGTTATAAAAATCAAAAGAAAAAAAACTTTTTTCCTGTGTTATTCTTATGGGAAATCGAAAAGTGCAATGCGGACAACCTAAATATTAATATTAAGGGCTCATATTTTCAGAGGCCTATTTTGGCATTAAAACGAAACTTTTGAGCGTGGTTCCGAGAAAAAATAATTTTTTTTTTGAAACGCCCTAATATATATACAGGGTGTTTCATAATATATGCGCAGGACTTCAGGATGTAATAGCTCATCCAAAAAGATGAAAAAAGTCGCTATTAACTTACGCTCTAAAATGCACAATTTTCGAGATGTTGAAATTTTAGAAAAAAATTCGTTTTTTTCGAATATCTCCGGAACCGTTTATCGTACAAAAAACAGCTTTTGTAAGCATTTTCTACTCAAAATAAGCTATGTTTTGTGCCAGAAAAAATTTTTTTTCCTCATAATTGGTGGAGATTTTGAAGGGGTAGCGGGTGTTTTTCTCCTTAACTTCTACGCCCCTGAAAAAAGTACGGTTTTGAGAAGCCCATTCGAGCCGCCAATGTTTTCTACACAAAAAAGGTACTCTTGGTCATAAGCTCTAAACTTGACCGTTTTTGAGAAAAATCAACTTTTATGTTTAAAAACATGGACAATTTAAAAAAAAAATAATTTTTTTTTACTAATTAAACAAAATTTATTTTAACATTAGAACAAGTAACAAAACCAAACCATAATTTCAAAATAAAAAATGATTCAAAAGTTGTCTTTGCTAAATTCTCCAAACCGTAATTTCAGCATTTGTGTAAAAAATCATTTTTTATTTTTTTTTTAATTTTGAAATTATCGTTTGGTTTTGTTACTTTTTCTAACGTTAAAATAATTTTTGTTTAATTAGTAATAAAATTTTTTTTTCAAAAAATTGACCATGTTTTTAAACATAAAAGTTGATTTTTCTCGAAAACGGTCATTTTTAGAGCTTATGACCAAGAGTACCTTTTTTGTGTAGAAAACATTGGCGGTTCGAATGAGCCTCTCGAAACCGTACTTTTTTCAGGGGCGTAGAAGTTGAGGAGAAAAACACCCGCTACCCCTTCAAAATCTCCACCAATTATGAAGAAAAAAAATTTTTTCTGGCACAAAACATACCTTATTATGAGTAGAAAATGCTTACAAAAGCTGTTTTTTGTACCATAAACGGTTCCAGAGATAATCGAAAAAAACGTTAATAGCGACTTTTTTCATCTTTTTGGTTAAGCTATCAGATCCTGAAGTCCTGCGCATATATTATGAAACACCCTGTATATATATATATATATATATATATATATATATATATATATAAGTTTACAGATTCAGGTTAACAGAATTAAAGTGATTTTACATCAAAAATAATATAAATATGGCATATGATATTTTTTTGTATTTTTAATATTTGAAATTTTTTATAAGTGTTATTTTTGATCACTGATATCTTTGAAACGGTTGATCTGAAGAACTTTGACCTTCAGATGTTTTTTGTAGAGCATGAAATTGTCTATAACTCCTCTCGCTTGGTTGTTGCGAAAACAAACCATTCCAAAGTTATAGGAATTCAAAATTAAAAAAATAAAAATTCCCGTGTTATTGAAATGGAAAAACAAAAAATTAATTGAGGCAAACCTTAATATTAAGATTTTGTTTTTAATGTACTATTCATTTTTCAACACCATTGAAAAAAAATAAATTTTCCCCCTTTCACCTCCCGTCTGCTAATTGTACCAGAAAATTTAATGTTAATCAAACTTTGACCTCGAATAACTCTAGAAGAAATCAATTTATCGAAAAATAATAAGAGACCTTTTTTGTAGAGCGTTAAATTTTATATAAGAAACTGCAATGATCATTGCCATACGTTACTTTGATACAGAGGTATAAAATTCCAAACATAAATTAATTTTTTCCCATGTTAATTCAATGGGAAACTAAAATAAAAACAGAGACCTCTTAGAGTTGAGCTGGAACGCCCATATTTGGTGAGGATTTTTTTTATATTAAATAAAAACATTTGAGAGGGTAAGAGCGAAAAAAAATTTTTTGAAGCACCCTAATATATATATATATATATATACATATATATATGTTAATAGTAAACGACATACGATATCTGAAATTATGAAAACACATATGTGGGCAATTTGTAATTAATATCTTTATATAATTATCTTTGAAAAACGTGTTTCTCAAGCAAGTATTAAATAGCAGCAATAAAATGCACATGATAAACACTAAATATGACTAAAAGCTTTTTGTTTTAAATATTATTTAATGAAGTAATAAATTACCTTTTATCTAGCAGGTGGAGCATAAATTTGGTACGCTAATAGGCAATAAATTAGATACGCTAATAGATTTTTATGAAATTAATGGCCCATAAATCACTTTTAATTACCTTCTTATCGCTTTCCTGTTGTTTAGGGTATTCCAACTTACATATCTCTTATTTTAGTTTTTATTATTAAATAATACTTACGTTCACATGATGGTATGATATTCCATTGACTGCCTTCGGCAATCCATTGCCCATTTTCACATTTAATTAACATATTTGTACTTCCATCAGGAAGTTGGTAATTTGGCATGCAATTAACTTTGCATCCAGAATATACAGAACATGTAAGTCCAGCGTTCATTGGTGTTACAGGTTGACTAGTACAGCCTATATAAAATAATGTTATTGTCATTAAATTGTTTTGTCCTAAATTATTGCATAAAGTGGATTACAAAAACATGATCCATATACTAAGCAAAGCCACAAAGAAAATTACGTAACCTCTTGTTACTATATTATGTTTTTACTTATAAAAAAGGTTTTTAAAGTTTTTTTGAGAAACCACAGTAATTTTTTTTTTGAAATTTGAGTTTGCAATAAAAGATAGGGGTTCCTATTTAAGATTTACTCTCTGCCACACCTACACAGAGGGTGAAGAAATAATTTGACTTTTAAACTAGTATTAACATGATCTGTGCGCAAGGGGGTTGAGGCTTTAACCCCGAGAAATTTTGAACGACTATCATACCGTTGACATCAAAATCTAACCTTATCACCAGCAAAAATGGTCAATAATGTATCTTTTCTATTTTCAGATTTATACACGATCAAGATGTCAGGACATGGGCAATACCAAAATATGTCGCGATTTTACTATTGCACATGTTCCTAACGCCATTGCAAATGCCCTATTATAGAACCTCTATAGCAGCATTTCTCAAATTGTGCTCTGTCGCATAAGTCTTTTTAAAATCACACTAAAAAATGCTTGATTTTGTTATTTTTTTACCTATTATTTATTTTTTGCAGCTAAATCATAGTGGGCTTTGTCATTAAAAAGTTTAAGAAACCCTGCTTTATAGGAACAAACCTATTTTTAAATATGACAGTTATAATTTAATTTATTAATAATAAATTATTGCATAAAACAAGAAATCCTTTTGAATTACATCCGTTGTAGTGGTACATAATTTTCGATGAAAAGTAGTAGAATATCTATAATTTATAGTTTTTTTAGAAAAACTTTTTGTTGAAGCCATATTAACACTATTATTTAATATATTTAGTTTGCTTAAAGTTAAAAGTTTCATTTTAAATACTTTAAAACTTTGTAGTGGCCCATAAAAATTAAATTACAGTTCCAGGTACCTTAAAGTAGTTTTGATAAGTTACGTAAAAGTACCAAATACTAAAATATTAACTTTTAAGTTACTAACCTTATAGTTCCCATTTATTGTTTCACTTTTGGGGTTTTAAATTGCAAAGTACAAAGTAAAAATAAGTATATGGTAATATTTAAATGGCAACAGAAAGTCACAGCCACCAAGAAATTAATACAAAGTTATTTTTACCTATAACACATTTTTTATAGTGGCAAAGTACATAGGCACAACCAAATTTTACTTAAATGTCTTCTTTAAAGTAACCTTGAGAAAAGTATTCTTATTATTAGGTTACAAATACTTATAAGTTAAAATTAAAGTAGCTGTTTGGTATAAATAACTAGTCTTTACCACTTTGAGAATGGTTTTTGGAAAGAAAAATTTATAGTGCAACAAGAAATTCCAGCCCAAAAGAACCTAACGCAAAATAAAAGTTGGCCAACCGACTAAGAACATACTAGTAGGGTTAAGGGTGATATTACCACGCGTTTTTTTATGACCGCTTGAAGTTCGCATACTTTGTGCCCAGTTTTTTGACTGTTTACGACTTGCAAGTAAATAAATGAACTAATAATTTAAACTACTTAAATGGTATGGTAAGTCCAGTGGCGGATCCAAGAGGGTAGTTTTCAGGTCCGGGCCCTTCCTTCGGAATCGGTAAATTCGATAATTATGTTTTATTCTGCTTTATTCTGCACGGGCGTTATAAGTATTGATGGTTTTCCGGAATCTGCTCCGTGTTGACGGTTTTTGGTTTTTAAAAGAACCGTATGTCTGACGACGTTTCGGTACAATCTCATGTACCATCTTCAGGTCTTGTCTGTTGGGTTGCTGTTGAAACAATAATGGTAGTTTATTAAAATATTGTAGGTTAGTATTGTTTTCACTTCTGAAATCAGCTGTTTAAAATATTCGAGGTTAGAATTGTTTTTACTTCTGCAATCAGCTGTTTCTCTGTCGTCATTTTGAAATCCAAGCCAGACCCAGCACGAAAGCTTGCACCTTCTTAGCTTTAGTACGTAGGGCAGATTATGCGCTGGAGTCAGATTTTAATGAAAATGAATACTATGAAATACACAAAGCAAGCTTGCACTCTGACTCCCACTCTAGAATTGAATATGGGCCTTTAGACATGGATCACGCCCCGTTGATTAATCTCGTTAATCTGCGTGGCGTTTTGGTGGTTGTAAGAGCTGGTTTATATGCAGATGGTGGTATCTGTGTATCGGCTCTTGTGTTGAGGTTTCTTGGACGTTTTTCTATTTTAATAGCTTATCGCAGTCTTGAAACAAGAAAAAACATCTTCCTTAGCTAAACACGTTCAAAAAACTTCCCATGAAATTAAAGCCATTAAAATAAAAGAACGTCCAAGAAACCTCAACACAGGAGACGATACACACAGTGCCGGTTTAACAGGGGTTTTTTGGGGACTATAGCACCGGGCGGTAAATATTTTTGGGGCGGTACCGCGTACCGCCCATAATTTAAAAATACTTAATCGTTGGAATTTAGAAAAAAAATTATTGCGACACTGCGTCGGCGGATACAACGGATACAAATGAGAAAAATGTTGTTAGAGTTAAAGCAGCTTCTCCATCAGAAAAACTTGATTTATTGGAAACGGAATAATTTGAACTTTTTGGATAGACGTTTTGCAAAGGGTTAATGAAACCAATAAAGCAGTCCAAAAACAAAATATGGATTTAAGCACAAATGCTCATCTTTTGTCATTTTTAGTTGATTTTTTACGTGATATCATTTTGATCATTACGAGGAAATTAACAGGAAACGAAATTATGCTCAGAAGCGGATAATCATAAGAAAATTACAATTTGAAGAAAATAATTCAGAGGCAAGTTTAAGCAAAAAAGAAACAATGCGAACAATATGTTTTATTTTAATAATTGACAATCTATAATCCAAAATCATTTGTCGATATGATAGCTAGAAATCTGGCACAAACAAATTTGAATTTTTGTTTAATCTAAAAGCATAAATCTTCGTGGAGGATTTGGATGAGTTTTTTTCTCAAAAATGTGTCCAACTCAAGAAACTGATAACTTCCCTTTCGGAAATAAAAATAGAAACTCCATTGGAATTAGTATAAGTTTTATACGAAAATAAATTAATATCTTCATTTCCGAATATTAATAATTGTCTGCGAATTTTTTTTATAATGGTTTCAAATGCAAGTGGTGAACGATCTTTTTCTGCTCTAAAAAGGGTTAAGAACTACCTAAGAAATACAATTCCCCAAGAAAGATTTAACTCCTTAGCAATTCTGTCCATTTATCAAGACCTGCTAGATGAAATAAATGTAAAGTGTTATAAAACAATTTGCTACTATAAAGACTTGAAAACAACCTTTTAATTTAATTATAAGTATTAGGATTTCTCAATATTTATTTAAACCAAAGAATAATGTTTTATTTATTTATAACTTTTAATTAGTTTTTCTTAGTACTTAGTATTGTTTATATAAACCAAAGAATGTTTTATTTTTTAGTTAGTGCTTTTGATTAGTTTTTATAATTTGTTTATAAAGGGTCATTTTATATTTTATAGGATACTAAGTTTACTGTTAGATACCAGCCTAACCAACCTAATCTTCCATTTGATATTTTATAGGATACTAAGTTTACTGTTAGATACCAGCCTAACCAACCTAATCTTCCATTTGACGTGAGAAAGTAAAACTTAAAAATTTAAAAATGTTTTTAAAAAAGTAATATTTTAAAGCATTGGGCGTTGTGTTTTTGCCAGAACCGGGCGGCGAACTAACTTAAACCGGCACTGGATACACAGAGACACAAACTACATGGAAGCTCTTACAAAAACAAAAACGCCACGCAGATTAAAGAGATCAATGGAGCCGAACATAACACAGGTCGCATGCACGGTTAATGACGCGGAAAGCTAAAAGAGTATATAGCAGCCCAGCAGTCAAGACCTGAAGATGGTACATGAGATTGTCAGACATACGGTTAGCAGATCCCGGTAAACCATCAATACATATACGAGGTGTGTTCAGAAAATAACGAGAATTTTTAAATTTCGCGGGTTCGGAGAGTCCGGTTGTTATAAAACTTTCTTTATTATGTTGGTATACATGCCCCTGAAGTATGATAAAAACTTTAGCTGTTTTCATTGTTTACTTTGTCTGTGTGAGCCGCCAAGGCGTGTTTTTATAAGCTCGGCGATTTTCGTTCGTTAAAATAAATGGATCAAAGAATTTGTATTAAATTTTGACTAAAAAATTAAATAAAGTTTGTGAAATGTTAACAAAGGCCTATGGTAAATCTGCTATGAGTAAAACAAGGGTTTAGAACTGATATAAGAGTTTCCAAGATGGCCGTGAAGACGTTGAAGATGACGCCCAAGCACATTAACAACCGATAAATGAAATGGAATGGAAAAAGTGGAAGAAATGGTTATAAACGATCGCCGAATCACAATCAGAGAAGTCGCTGATGATGTTGGCATATCGATTGACTAATGCCATGGCGCCATGATATTTTTTTGATTGTTTTGGGTATGAAACGCGTGGCAGCAAAATGTGTTCCAAAATTTTGTAAATTTTTAAGTTACCCCCTTTTCTCCCTATAAGGAGTGGAGTATGAGGACCAATGTTAGTACTGATTGATTTCCCCCTTGAATCATTTAATTTTTATTTTAAATATAAATGCGTATAAAATGCGTAGTTTCAAGTTAAATGACTCACCCTGTGTGTATATATATATATATGTATATATATATATATATATATATATATATATATATATATATATATATATATATACAGGGTGAATCAGAAGGATCGCACTAAATTCTAGGACTGCATTCTACACATCAAAATAATAAAAAAAACTCAACTGTTCTTATCCGATTCTTATTTGTTTTCAAGTTATAGCGAAATTTAAAAAAAAATGAAATTTAAAAAAATAAATTATTATCTAATGTTCTTTGAAAAACTATGAAAACAAAGTTTTTGTTTCCATAGTTATACATATTGTTTACATTTAAAAGACCTAACTGTCAGCGTCAGTGGTATTTTTGTAATTTTCCAGTATAAATTTTTTTAAAATGCCAAAAGTTTATTCAAATTTAGAGTAAGCTAATATGGTTTTTGTTTATGGCTTTTGTCATGGCAATGCCACAGCTGCTGTAGAAGAATATCGGCGATGTTTTCCACGTGAAAGGGCTCCTAACATAAACGTGTTTATTCGAGTTTTTAACAAACTTTGCGAGACTGCAACTCTTCCAAGTGCTAAAATAACATCTGAAATAGCTGATCGACAAACTTTAGAAGAATTGGAAAATATTTTGGATCTAGTGGAAGAAGATGCAACGACCAGCACCAGAAGAATCGCTACTCAATTAGACATTTCACAAAAACGGGTAATACACACACTTCACGAGGAAGGCTTTTACCCATACCATTTACAAAGAGTACAGTTTCTATACCCGGAAGATTATGCTAAACGTGTGGAATTTTGTCGGTGGGTAACTAACAATCGTAGAGTTGTATCGCGTATACTTTTTACTGATGAAGCAACATTTACCCGTGATGGCATTAATAATACGCACAACTCTCACGTATGGCCTAACGAAAATCCCCATGTCGAAACCAATTTTCAGCACAGGTTTTCAGTAAATGTGTGGTGTGCTATGATTGCTGGGTATTTAATTGGCCCTTTTATTATGGAGAATCGCCTCACAGGGGAACACTACCTTAATTTTTTAATAAATGAGTTGCCAGGATTACTAGAGAATGTTCCTCTAAACGTAAAAAGGCGAATGTACTATCAGCATAATGGAGCCCCTGCACATTTCGCTCCTGAGGTCAAGCAACACTTGGATGAAATGTTTTCAGAGCGTTGGATTGGTAGCGGAGGTCCAATTAGTTGGCCTCCAAGAAGTCCAGATCTAACACCACTAGATTTTTGTTTATGGGGTTGGTTTAAAACAGAAGTTTACAAAGTTAAAGTGAATAGTCCAGAGGCTATAATTCAACGAATAATTAATACTGGCGCAGTTCTTAAAGAAAAACAAGAGTTAATAGGACAAGCAACAGGCGCTGTTCGCAGACGTAGCATGTTAAGAACTCAATGGGGGTATTTTTGAACACCTTATAAAAGGTCATAACTATTAAACAAATGTTACCGTTTCATTTTATTTATTTTTTAATTACGCTATAACTTCAAAACAAATGAGAATCGAATAAGAACATTTGAGTTTTTTAAAATTATTTTAATGTGTAGAATGCAGTCCTAGAGTTCGGTGCGATCCTTCCGATTCACCCTGTATATATCTAAAGACGTGGCCTCGCTGTGCGGCGTGCAATCACAATGCACTTAGACACACACAGTGGTAAATTTTACCGTACGCGGCCCAAAAGAGTCTAGCTAGCTTTGACCAGCTATGCGGCAATATTTCAGAAATAATAGATTTACACTGAAATGCCTATCATCTCGCCACCGAGTCGGGCTCGAAGGCATTTCAGTCTTTGCAATATAGGTCGCCGCTGTCCTGGTCACTTATTTCTTTATAAGTAAACAGTGCTGAACTTGATGCGTGTCTCCCGTCACCGACTCCCTGACACTGATGAGACCCAACAGGTCGAAACAGGCTGTCTGTTAGTGTTGGTGGGTATGATGTATTAGTCATTGGACCATACCATTCGGGAGACGCGCATATATATATATATGCATATATATATATATATATATATGCATGGTTTTCCTACTAGAGTAGTAGTGCCTATCGGGTAGCCGTAATGGTCCAAAGCATACTCGAAACAACATGCACCCAGTGCCGGTTTAACAGGGGTTTTTTGGGGACTATAGCACCGGGCGGTAAATATTTTTGGGGCGGTACCGCGTACCGCCCATAATTTAAAAATACTTAATCGTTGGAATTTAGAAAAAAAATTATTGCGACACTGCGTCGGCGGATACAACGGATACAAATGAGAAAAATGTTGTTAGAGTTAAAGCAGCTTCTCCATCAGAAAAACTTGATTTATTGGAAACGGAATAATTTGATCTTTTTGGATAGACGTTTTGCAAAGGGTTAATGAAACCAATAAAGCAGTCCAAAAACAAAATATGGATTTAAGCACAAATGCTCATCTTTTGTCATTTTTAGTTGATTTTTTACGTGATATCATTTTGATCATTACGAGGAAATTAACAGGAAACGAAATTATGCTCAGAAGCGGATAATCATAAGAAAATTACAATTTGAAGAAAATAATTCAGAGGCAAGTTTAAGCAAAAAAGAAACAATGCGAACAATATGTTTTATTTTAATAATTGACAATCTATAATCCAAAATCATTTGTCGATATGATAGCTAGAAATCTGGCACAAACAAATTTGAATTTTTGTTTAATCTAAAAGCATAAATCTTCGTGGAGGATTTGGATGAGTTTTTTTCTCAAAAATGTGTCCAACTCAAGAAACTGATAACTTCCCTTTCGGAAATAAAAATAGAAACTCCATTGGAATTAGTATAAGTTTTATACGAAAATAAATTAATATCTTCATTTCCGAATATTAATAATTGTCTGCGAATTTTTTTTATAATGGTTTCAAATGCAAGTGGTGAACGATCTTTTTCTGCTCTAAAAAGGGTTAAGAACTACCTAAGAAATACAATTCCCCAAGAAAGATTTAACTCCTTAGCAATTCTGTCCATTTATCAAGACCTGCTAGATGAAATAAATGTAAAGTGTTATAAAACAATTTGCTACTATAAAGACTTGAAAACAACCTTTAAATTTAATTATAAGTATTAGGATTTCTCAATATTTATTTAAACCAAAGAATAATGTTTTATTTATTTATAACTTTTAATTAGTTTTTCTTAGTACTTAGTATTGTTTATATAAACCAAAGAATGTTTTATTTTTTAGTTAGTGCTTTTGATTAGTTTTTATAATTTGTTTATAAAGGGTCATTTTATATTTTATAGGATACTAAGTTTACTGTTAGATACCAGCCTAACCAACCTAATCTTCCATTTGATATTTTATAGGATACTAAGTTTACTGTTAGATACCAGCCTAACCAACCTAATCTTCCATTTGACGTGAGAAAGTAAAACTTAAAAATTTAAAAATGTTTTTAAAAAAGTAATATTTTAAAGCATTGGGCGTTGTGTTTTTGCCAGAACCGGGCGGCGAACTAACTTAAACCGGCACTGCATGCACCAGCCGCTCTTATAGCAAGAATTGCCATAGAACAGCGGTGAAATTTTCACCGTGAAAACACAGCGAACGAGTTGTCTGTCTGTCTGTCGGTGCCTGGTTCGAAGCAGATTCGAAATAAAAGCACAGTGGGCGAGGTGATTGGCATTTTCACAACCTGTGTCGCTGAGAACTCTCGTTCGCTGTGTTTTCACCGCTGTTCTATGGCATTTCTTGCTATAAGAGCGGCTGGTGCATTTTGTTTAGGAAGCACTTTATTTTATTAGGACATTTGTTTATATGAATTTTGTTTTGTTAAATATCGTTATTTTGTCCTAATGTTACGGCCCCTAAACTTAGGAAACACCTGTATATGTCAGGATCAGGAGCGGATCCAGAATTTTGAAATGGGGATCAACAAAAACGTCTGCACTTTCTTCGGTAGGTAATCACTTAATAAAAATAATATTATGAACAAATTTTAAATTTTGGTTTTTCTCATTCTGAAGAGTGAGTCTGGACCCCCGAGTTCCTCGTGGATCTGCACGCTTTTTTTGATTATACAATACCTAATTCCACTTGTTTGATTAATTTATTAATTCTTTTATTTAATTGATATAAAAGTCGATAAATTAGCTTCAAATAATGCGAACTTCAATGTTATAAAAAAATTAGTTTGTTAGTATACTTTCATATTGCATTGGACCAATTTGGGCGGTGAAATCGGACAACCTTTCCCCCATATATTTTTAAAATTTAGCTGCTTATAGGCACGTGCTAATATAGCTCGATTTTATTTGTCCTGAGAAGCTGTGCTGTGCGCAGGAATTTTAAATTTAGTTTATAAATAAGCTTTTATTTTAAATTAAAACAATATTATATAAGTTATAACTTATAAATTACAAACCTCCTTTATAGTTCATGGTTTTTTTAACACTTCCTCCAGCATAAGGTGATGCACCATATGAATGGGAATTAATGGCTGATTGGTAGTTTTCATTAGATTTTTGATTGCGATCTCCATATCCATAGCCATTTCCATTGTATCCACCATATGATGTTTTGATTTGTCTACTTTTTGTTATGGTCTGAGCACCACTTATAGTTAAATAAATAAATAACAATTAATTATCTAGCAAATTGTGTAAATCGGTATAAAATGACCTTAAAGTAATTTGAGACATAGCTCTATCCACTTTTGGGAGTTGAAAGTGTATTTTTTTTATTATAAAAAATTTATTGAGAAATTGTTGAAACAAGTAATAGGCCAGATTATTAAATTTCGTACTGATTTATTTGTTAACAAATAAACTGAATGACCTATGAAGGCCAATACATGTACAATAATTGTCCACTATCAATATTTATTTGTATCTTTTATTATGAGTAAATTTAAAAGTAAAACTTACCTTCCTCCGCCATTTCCAAGGCTATATTTATTTTTTAAGGCTTGAGGGACATAGAGTTGACTCCTAATAGAAAAATAATAGTTTTAAATTTTAAAATTATAAACAATAAAAAATTCAAAAATAACTTATAACCAAATAGGGCAATTTATATTTAAAGGGCACATTTATTTTAACTTTTTTCAGAAAACAGTAGCAAGTATATTTACCTTAGCCACAAACAAATGATAAACAATGTTATCAATACAATTAAAATTGTATTTAAGTAACACAGTTAACTATATTACAAAATTTTCTTCCGCATATTACAGCACCAAACTTAAGTTATAAAATTATCTGTCAAAAATTGTTCCTTTAGTTTTGTAATTCCCTAATTAATGAAAAAATAATGAAACGGACTAGAAGACATCGAGAAGTGTAGCGCAAATTGCTACAAAGTCAAAGTCGAGTTCTTTGAGAAATGCAAAATGCTATCGCAGATAATAATTATTTCTATTTACAAGTTTAATTAAAATAGACTAAAATTCACAAAAATGTCTTATTAACTTGTATAATACTTTTTTTAGACCAAGAACAGAATGAAATTAATACTTTACTTTAATTACGATGATGACTTAAAAGTTCTTGAAGAAGACCAAAGTATGAAAATTAATTTTTTAATGAAATTTATATTAAAATTAATTAACATTTACTTTTCTGTTTAAAAGGGCCCGAAGATATCGATAAACATTCTAATGGTAGGCTGATATCTTTGAAACGGTTGATCTGAAGAACTTTGACCTTCAGATATTTTTTGTAGAGCGTGAAATTGTCTATAACTCCTCTCGATTGGGTGTTGAGAAAACAAACCATTTTAAAGTTATAAGAATTCAAAATGAAAAAAAAAAATTCCTGTGTTATTGAAATGGAAAAACAATAAATGAATTGAGGCAAACCTTAATATTAATATTAAGGACTCAAATATGCGCCAAAATTTTTGTTTTTTAATGTACTATTAATTTTTTAACACCACTGAAAAAAAATAATTGTTAATTTTTTTGAAACACCCTAATATACAAGGTGTCCCTAAACTTAGTGGCATAAATTTAGGAGCAGATTAAGCAAGTCTAAATAAGACGAAAATCTAAATAAATATTTTTCCTAATTACAAAAGTTTAAAAGATACAGGGTGATAAAGTGTTACTTATCATATCAGTTTTTTAATATAACTTCTATTACGGTTGACTTGGAAAGGTGATATTTTGCGAACAGTCACTTACTACCAAAACACATATTCACACATAATTACAATTGTTCGAGTGAACACAGTGTCGTAGAAACAGGGGTTGCTTAAGCTTATTGTCCCATACAAAGTTTGAGGTTAGGTTTTTATACTATTTGATGCAATTTTTCGATTACTCAGTTCGGCTGTGTACCTCTCAAACTTCGATAAAATAAACCGTTTCCGAGGTTTTCGAAATTACAATAATTGTTATATCGCATTAAAGGATTAAAAGGTATATATGATAACAAATTTTGTAATTGAAAAAACTACAATTTTTTTAATGTGACGGTCAGGGCAGAAAGTCCCGGGGCTCATGGAATGCCCTTTTTAGTTTTTTCAATTTAATATCTTTTAGTATATTAAAAACTTCTGTATATGTTACAGGTTCCAAAAACATATACTTATTATTAAATGGTAATTTACAACACAAATTAAAGCTTGGCATATTGGACACAATATTCGTAATATTATTTAACATAAAATTATTAAAATCATGTGCTGTGCTTAATGGATCTTCAAAACTTAAATTAGTATCACAATTATTACCACTCCCTAATTCTTTTACTATTGACCATGTAGTTTTACCTTTATTGGTCGAAGAATTTATTTTATGTGTATAGTAATTTTTTCTGGCATTTTTAAGTGCGTTGTTGTATTGCATTTTTTTAAAATTATATACTTGTTTTATCTCACATCACATTTACTTACTATTAATAAAGTATCTAGTTCGTTTTTTATATTTTTGTAAATATGGGTTCTTCATAGTTATATTTAATTTTAAAATTTAGTTTAACGCGCCATTCAGGAAAACACTGATTGAAGATCGGTAAAACAATATTAATGAAACTTTTCCACCATGTATTAACGTCATCATATGGACACATGAGAACATTTTGCCTATTTCGCAAATTTAATTGGGATCTAAACCGTTCTTTATTTTTATTACTAAAAGATCTAATTGTTTTATAGTTAACTTTGGTCTCATTTGAAAATAGAAGTTTTACACATTTGTGATCTGACATGTGATGATCAGATAAATCAGACGTATAATTTGTTATGTTTGTACAAATATTATCTAGACATGTCCTTGACAATGATGTTTCCCTAGTACTTTTTTTATTAGTTATGTTTAGGCCATAACTATTTAATATTGCCAAGAAATTTATAGTTGTGCTATTATTACAATGTAAATCTATATTAAAATCTCCATTAACAAATATATCATAGTTTTCTATCACAAAAATAACAAGCACAAACTCCAGTATGTCAAAAAAAAATTGTACATTTTCAGGTGTAGAGGGCCTGTACACCAAAACTATTATACCCCTTTTATTAATTATAACATATTCTATAGCAGCGATTTCACACACACCCAACACTGACAAATTTACAATTTCATTACGATTTTTACACTTATCATTCTTTACACAGTAGATTGCAACTCCTCCATGCTCTCCCTCACAGTTAGCCTAGAGGGCCTTTTCAAGAAAAAAAATATACATGATTTAAAACTCGGATTTTTGCAATACATATAAGATCTACTACTATTATCAAAAAAAATTAAAATCTTCTATCGAGCCCTTTTCGAGAAATTGTATAAAATGTTTTTTTTTGCTAGACATGTAAAAACGACCTATTAAAATACTAAATTTTATTTTATTTCTCTTGAGATGATGTTGTGAACTACAACATTTGGTTAGTTTCTAACCTATAAATATGTAAAATAAACCATATCGTCAATATTTTGATTATTTTAATACTAACTGTCACACCGCACCGCTTCGCTTGCGAAGTTGGCCATATTGTAAATACAGTCCTCAAACTCAGAATTATATAAAAAAATTTCGTATTTAAATCGTACATCACAACATTAACACCAAACTGTAAATACTAGTACCTAATTTTAATTTATGATTAAGAATAAAGAAAATATTTAACAAATACTGTACCTAAATGCTTACCAAATAAACAACTACAAATCAAAATCAGACTTAAATATGTTTACTTTTAAAACAAAACAAAAAAACAAAACAAAACAAACGCTTCTAAGCAAATTGTAAAGATAATTCTTAGAATTATGGTTTAAATTATATTGTAAACTGTGCTGTTTGTAGGCATGATGGCATTAATGCTATAACAATTGTTATAATGCCTGTTCAGAATAATAGCCTAGTGGAGTATTCGTCATCTTAATAAATTCTGGTACATGATGAACTAACACATGCATTTTTGGTGTATATGGAATTTCTAGCTTTTCTAACTCGCACGCAAATCTTTTAATGTAAATTTCATAATTAATATCCAGTGATCCCCCAATGCAGCTTGCAACTACTTTGTTAAAAGCTCTAAAAGCTGGAATATACTTGTTTCCTAAAAAAGTAGATAATATCGAAGTATTCATTTAAAAAAATAAAATCATATCGCAACACAAGCTTGTGTTGCAAGAGAAGTTCGATTTTTTTTTGAAGAAAAAACAATCGAACGCAGAATTTATTAAGATGACGAATACTCCACTGGGCTATTATTCTGAACAGGCATCAGAACAATGCCATCATGCCTACAAACAGCACAGTTTACATTATAATTTAAACCATAATTCTAAGAAGTATCTTTACAATTTGCTTAGAAGCGTTTGTTCTTTTAATAGTAAACATATTTAAGTCTGATTTTGATTTGTAGTTGTTTATTTGGTAAGCATTTAGGTACAGTATTCGTTAAATATCTTCTTTATTCTTAATCATAAATTAAAATTAGGTACTAGTATTTACAGTTTGGTGTTAATGTTGTGATGTACGATTTAAATACGAAATTTTCTTTTTATATAATTCTGAGTTTGAGGACTGTATTTACAATATGGCCAACTTCGCAAGAGAAGCGGTGCGGTGTGACAGTTAGTATTAAAATAATCAAAATATTGACGATATTGTTTATTTTACATATTTATAGGTTAGAAACTAACCAAATGTTGTAGTTTATCTCAAGAGAAATAAAATAAAATATAGTATTTTAATAGGTCAATTTTACATGTCTAGCAAAAAAAACATTTACTACAAAAGGGCTCGATGGAAGATTTTAATTTTTTTTGATAATAGTAGTATATCTTATATGTATTGCAAAAATCCGAGTTTTAAATCATGTTTATTTTTTTTCTTGAAAAGGCCCTCTAGGCTAACTGTGCCCTAGGGGCGGCAGTACGAAGATACCAATTTGAAATTTTTGAAAACATATTCCTGGATTTGATTAACTGATTTCCAGTGTTCAACAATACATAAACAAATACATTCAATATTCATATTTAACATAGACTGTATTACATCTAGTTTATTCCCTATTGACTGCGCATTTTGCAATAGAATGCTAGAGTATTTATTTGGATATGGAATCATTATGTGTTTGGTTCCGCTTTCTTGTGCATTACTAAAAAACGACTAAAACATGCTCAGAGCGGCCAAATTGTTGGATCCATGGCTTTTTTGAAGTTATCTTATCTTATTTTATAGGATGAGTATAGCTCAGGATGTTTTGAGTTCATATTTTCACAAATTACCTCAGGTAGAATGGGTTTTAAAATCTTTTGGAGATCATCTTTGGTGGTATCTGGGTCTAAACGATATACATGCAGAGATGCCAGTTTTGGAACACGTTTTATTGTGTTACTGTTTCCTACTACAATTTGACGTTTTTTCTTTTTCTCTTTATTTTTATTTACTGCTGTTTTCCAATCGTCATTAATTTTATGATTTTTTGGATTAGGTGTTGGGGTAGTATTTCCCAAGTTTATAATTTCGTTCAGTTTTTGTTTGGTTTCAGCCTGTAACAGACCAGCTGACAATTGTTTTTTTGTT